GCGCGGCGCGTGGGCGGGGGGCGGCGGTGCCCGCCCGGGTGCGTGCGGGGGGTGGGGGGGTGGGGCGGCAAAATTTCTACCCTATACACTCCAACACTCCTTTCAGATCGTGTTTCACAAAATTCATCTTTACCTAAGAACATTCAAATTGCATGAAAATTTCAGAATATGTTGAAACTGTAGTCGATGAGCTATGCTAAAATTTTCAGCTTTTTTGAATCTCTTTCAATTAGAAACGTAAATCTGATCTCCAAAGAAATATCAATAATACAATGTAATCGAATAGAAGAAAAATAAATTCGATGCTATTGTGATATGAAATTGTTTAATTATTTTGATAAGGATACTCAAATTTGCTCTTGATATGTTTTAGCAGAGAAAAATAACATATCAGTAAAGTTTCTTTCAACGAGCAGGTTACTATTCTACTGCGACTTTATATATTCTTTCAAACAAAATGAAATTCTCATGAAAAATAGATGTTCTAAAGAAAATCAAAATCATAGGTTTAATTTGTAACTTTGAAATGACTTCAAATATAGTTATATACTCAATAAGATTAATACCTATTCAATATTGTACAATCACATTCATGACATTGGCAATATTCATCAACAATAGTTGAAAATAATTCTTTGAGACATAAATCAGAACGAAAAAGACGACGAATATTTTGTATTATATTCGTATGTAAAGAATTCTGTCTAGAATATTCAATTAAATATATTGATCATTTTATTTATTGTAATATCAATATTAATAAATTAACAAAAATAGTATAGAATCAACAGCTTTTTACCTGAAAGCTGGATCCCATACATATAAGATAACGACATGTGAGCGTCATCAGATAGAGCTTGAAGCCTGATTTATTCAAGTTTATAGCCACTATCTAACGTCAAACTACACATATCGTTATCTTTTAATGTTTACCCTATAATAATAAAAAAGAAAACATATCAATGAATTACACAAGAAATATTTTATTAATCCCAAAACTAAAATCTGTTTTTATTGACTTTAAATGAGTAACTATTATGTTGTGTATATGTTTCATGACTCACTTTAATATATTTTGTAAAATATTTGAATAATCATTTAAAAGTTTTATTTGATCAACTGATGAAGAAAATAATGCTTGCGAAAGATTATCAAATATTGATGAATTTTGTGAATAACGATATAATATATCAGTAATACATGTTGATATTATATAATAATTTGATGAAAGTTGTCGAGTAGTAATTAATCTTGACCAGATATTTTCACTCGTCATTTGAACAAATAAATTAAATAGTTTTTTGAACTGAAAGACTGATTGATTATATCATTTCTTTATTTAGAGGTTTATATTTTTTAGAAAATGGTTGATAAATATGTTACTGTCCTTGAGCGACTTCTATCGGTCAATATATTTTCTATTCTCATTAATCAATTGTTTGCTGAGAATACAAATACGTAAGATTGTCAATTAAATAATGATGTGTCTCGATCACTTGTAATATAAATAAATAAGAAAAGGCTTACTGTTCACCATCCTTTCTTATTTCATGTAGACAATGACCTCGGTATCTAAACACGTTTTGCACAATTAGTAAAATGGATTATAAGCTTGAACTCACTCAATAGTATGAAAGAACATATGAAAACTATTCTTCATAGTATACGTCATTGAAATAGAAAGAAATCAAAATCAATGATAAAATTTATTAATGAAGGTTAAAAACGTGAATAATTTATGTTGAAAATATGTTATTGGATATCTTTTTTTTAATTATCTTATAGATTTGAACATATATCATTCAATAAAAATGATTGTGTTTGAACAACATTTGTTAACTTTTGTTTTCATGCTTTTTTTATCAAGACAAATGATTGTTAATGGTATTGCTGGTCGATGTTATTTATGTTCACAAAATACACTTGCTGAATGTGCTGGTAGTAATCAATCTGATTCATCTATTTACACAACTGTTCTTCAATATTATACTGAACCATGTAATGGTCAATGTGTATTATTTCGAAATGAAGATCGTTCAATTATACGTGGATGTTCATGGACATATGGACATATGACACCTAAATCAACTGGATGGCATGAAATAAGTCCAGGTGTAAAAGCTTATTTTTGTGATTCTCATCTATGTAATAATGGAACTTATGAACAACCGGAAAAATCCATGATGAACACAGGAATGATAAATAATCAATTTATTTTATCATCGCAAGAATTATTTCTAGTAGCAGAAAATAATCCTTCATTTATATCGAAAGGTAAGTTTTTATGTAAGATATGTAATTGTCTTAGTATGATATGTGTGAACAGTTGTTTTTTGTCTTTTTAATCAATAGTTCTTCATTGTGTTTATAGTCATGAAAATTCCTCGAAGTGTACGAGAGAGCGTTCACACCTATCAAATAGTTATATCTTTGAGACTATTCCTGTTATGGACCTTTAACCCGATGTTTACTCTATGAGCTTAGAATCACTGTGAATTTGAATGATCGCATTTCGAGCTGAAATTTGATTAGACGACACTAGAAAAATTATCAAGTTTAAATAAGGACAAACGTTTCGTTTCAAGGTATCAGGATATCATAGAAACGTTCTTCTTTTGAAACACAGTTCAAAAACAAGCGCTTCTTTAAAATGTAAATCTCGTCACAAGGTTGTGTTTGTTCAAGTTCAAACTTTCGACTTTTTCTAGTAACTATAAAGCCTATTTGTGGACATAATATCAGTTTCTTATCGATCCTATGTTCATAAGACAAAAATCGAGTAAAAGGCCCATAATTCGACTAGCAAAGACCAACGCAGCAAACAAAATCCAGACTTTTTCACTACTCATTGTGATTGATCGAATATCAAAAGCTTCAAACGATTGAACAGGAAGAAATGTTTCCTCCCTAATAGTATCTGGTATCCAGATAATTGAGAAACAGATAAATTAGAATTAACATTTTGAGAATGGATGCTTATGATTTTGCAACTTCTCACATCTAATGCAAGAAAAAATATTTTCGATAGTGAAAATCTTTTTTGTTTTCTAAAATGTTTCTGATCTGTATAATATTCTAGTCAAATATCTAAAAACAATTCATATATTTAGGACAATATTTGTCTCGTCAATTACATCAATGTTATTCATGTACTGCGCGTTTTCAAGGTTGTGGTGAAATTTTAGATCCACATTATGCATCAAATTATATTCGTCCATGTCCATCGAGTTGTATTATTTTTCGAAATCCTAACGATCTTAATTGTAAATATATATGATAATCTTCATTAAAACACAAAAAAAATGTCTGTTTTTGTTTTGTTTATATTGAAGTAATAACACGAGATTGTTCAATACTTTGGCCGCAAGCACATGCTAAAAATGGTCTTCATAAATTACTTGGTTCAGATGCATTCTTCTGTCAAGAATCTTTGTAAGAAAAATAAATATAATATAATAAAAATATTCTTTTTCCTTTTTTAAGATGCAATGGGATTAACTTTGATTTCATCATGGGTTGGTATAAAGTTTTAAAATTGCTATAAATTTTTTTGTTTGGTTCTGTTTTTGGGAATAGTGCTTCCGGGTAAAATCTTTGTTCTATTGTTGAAATATCGTTCCGAAAATAGAGTAACAGTTTTCGGATAGCTCAGTTTCAGAAGTTGAACTGTTCGAACAGAACTTTTGATATTATCTGCTATTTTGAACTGAATCCTGATTCACCCCTAATTTTGAAGATAATAATAAAATTCAGATATTATTCTGATAATTAGGGATTTTTTATAATCAACTGCCAGTTGTTGTAAAAGCTTCGACAAACAAAAATATTTTAACAACAAAAACAACAACCATAACTACTACTACGAGAATGAAAACAACTGTTGATATCTATAATGATAATGACATATGGGATGATCCTGATTTAGATTTTGTTCCTATTGAATACACAACACCGAATGTTTTAAATAATTTTACTACTTCTACTACTCTAATTGATCATGTCGATTTTATTAATGAAATATCTCCTAGTAGTACAATTGTTGATGGTTTAGCTACTCTACAACCAAATTTAACATTAAATTGGTGGGAATCGAATGATACTTTACTTTCGTCATCTTTTATATCTTCAACAGTTCTGTCATCAACTTTAGAAACAGATAAAAGTGATGCAATAATACTTAATACAACTTCAATACCAGCGATTACACGATTTGAACATTTATTAGATGATGATGGTGATGATGATGATGATGATGATGATATTGAAAATGATAGTGAAGAGATCGATGAAATCGATGAAGAGTTATTTACATCTAGTACAGATTTAAATTCTGATATAGATGTAGATATAAATGATAATAGCTTTTCTCCTACATTAACAACAACATCCGTTATTGATTTTATTTATAATTATAGAAACAATAACAATAATACTCAACCATTTGATCCATTTGATTTTTATAATGAAACAAAAGATCATTTGTTAGAACATATGAAACCATTATCAACAGTTCTTGTGCCACCATTATTATGGGTGTTGAATATGGTAACGCCAAGTAAAAGTCAATTTTTGAATACGACAATAGCAAGCAAAAAGCAAAATGAAGAAACAATGCATCATACAACAAGTAAAACATCAGATATATTTTATGAATATTGTAAAAATAAACAATGTTATCATGGTGGACGCTTAAATTCTGATTGTCTATGTATTTGTCTACCTGCTTTTACAGGAGATAACTGTGAAACAGGTAAAAAAAAAACAAAGTTTCATCTTTCTTTTAAATAGAGATATGTTTTATTTTTTATGTAGTACTTTGTGAACAAGAACCAACACATATCTGTGCTTTTATACTTGAACATGAATGTCAGACTGATTATATTCAATATTTATGTCCCAAATTCTGTCAGATGAATAATTGTTCTTCGCTTGAAATGTGAGTTTTCCTATTGCTTGTATGTGAATTATTAATAAAAACATTCAACATTTGTATGATGTATCTTTTCAATGCTTGCATAATCTATGAAATATACCAGTAATTCAACAATCGATCCAAAAAAAAATTCGATACTTTTTTATGGTGTTCGATAGAGTTCGATGAGTACTATAAGAATATGTCTATTAAAAAGTTTTCAAGGAATAACATTGAAAGAATAAATGAAGAAATTGGATTGAAAAACAACTCTAAAAAATACATTAGCACTAAATGCATCAAGATTCACTAGTTTGCAGATTATATGGGATATATTTTCTTCATTTTACCTACGAGGATACTTCTTCACATGATTGATTGCTTTTTGAATCAGTACTATCAGCATTATGTGGTTCCTGACGATCTACAAATATCCTGAAAGAAGCTCGGATCCTTGGTTTATTTCTGTGGAGACACTGTATTTTTAGAGTATTTTTTCAGTTAATACTATGGTCCCCTAACAGAACACCGGAACAACTAATTTTCGAAATTCAACTTGAAAATTTACATAGAAATAAATTTTGACGAGAATATTCTATTGTAAAAGTTTTAGATCTTTTCGTTGTTTCTATCCTAAGATATGAAGATAGTAAATTTGGGTCTTTGACATCGCTTATGTGCACTGACAAAGTCAGTGTTATCATGTTAGGATAGGATCAAATTAAAAGACTTGAAACTTTTATCATAAACTATTTTCATTAAGGTCTATCTCTGTGAAGAATTTAAAATCAAAACTTTAAAATCAGTTTTGCTGATGTTCCTAATGGGAATCACAACTTTGAGTTTAAAAGAGTTTGTTAGCACAACCCCTCTGTGCGCTAAAATACTGCATTCACATATATTATTTAGTTTCGTTATATTAATACAAAATATGCCAAGTGAAAAATTTCTAACAGACTATAGTTATTTTCCATGGATAATCGATGGTCAGAAAGACGATCTCTTTATTTATTTCTGCATGTCAAAGAGGATCTTTTTTCTTTTTTTTACATTCCATTTTAATTATCTGAACCATCGATTAAACTGGCAATTAAGTCTGTTATACATATCCGTTATATCTACAATAAGTCTCAAAGCACTAATATGTATCTTGATAAGCTCAGAAATACCAATATTTATTATTCCTCAAAGCTATAACTTGATCAGTTCATTCGTTTTATGTTGATCATCTGATAACTGTGGTAAATCACTGCATCACTATCCATCATCCTTGCTATTATGAATCTAAATTTTTATCTCTGCAAAAATCAAAAATTGCGTTGTTAAGAGCACTCACAAACGTATTTCAGTCATACAAATTTTGAGGAAGCTTTTAAAATGTTCTAGAACAGTCTTAGCCTTTTTTTCTAAATGTCGTTCAGAACCCTTTTCAGTTCCTAAGAAACCTTGGAAAAGGAGTGTAACGTCCGTTATCCTCGATTGTTAGAGAATTGTAACTAATAATCGTTGACCTTTTTTCCTCCCTCCCCCCTCATATTAGGGAAAAAGCATACTGACAGGCTTTTGACCTTGACCTCCAGTAGGTAGAGTTTGTAGAGAGGAGAGAGAAGCCATAAAACCTCGACTTGAAACTTATACTCATTAAATTGCACTTCTCCACAGCAATAAACTAAGGATCCGAACTCTTTTCATAGTATCCATAAGTTATCATGGTCTATATAATGGACATAGTCCCGACCCAAGAGCGGTTTTCCCTCATCAGTATGAATCTATTCTACAAAATTTGTGCATCGTTGTACTTCTAGGTTTGAGCATTGTTGAGAAAACCGATTTCTTTCATATCACAATCCAAATAGTTACAACATATGGTCGTATTTCGAGATTTTGACTATCAAAAGTTGATTTTCATGTCAAATATGATATTCCGGATCAGTGCAGAAACCTTCATAGAATAACATGTATATTTTTTCGAAACACATTTCCAACAAAATTCAACTTATGCATTTTACTTTATGATCGCCGACGAGTCGAGTTATGATGTTATGATGGGAACTATTTTTTTGATAAACTCATACTGAGTCAAATGGAGAAAACATATTTCGCAGATCTGCAAACTAATGAAATTTGATGCCTTTAGTTCTAATGCGTTTTATTAGGGTTTTTCAATCCAAATCATCTATTTGTTCTTTCAATATTATTCCATGAAAACTTATGGCTAGACATACTCTTTTGTAGCACTTGTCGATTTCTAGCGAGTATGTACTAGAATATCGAAATTAATTGTTGTTCAGAACAATTTTTTAATTATTTTAACTTTGCTTGCTTGAAACAATCATTGGATTAGAACGTATACGTTAATTTGAATAGATTGTTTTTTTTCTCATTACGTTGTTCGTATGTCTCCTTTTCGTTATGGATATCTAACCAAAGAAAGAAAAGAAAATATCAAACGATACATGATTTTGTACAAAGCCATAAGGTGTACACCTGTTGTCACATGACAAAAAATATATAACGAGAAAATATGAGACAGAATTGAAAGCAATTAAAGAAAAAGATATTTTTGTGTTTTTTCTTATTCAATACTATTACGTTTACATAAATAGCGACAATCACTAAAGGGTAAAGACTGCTGTAAAGTAAGGAGCGAATAAAGTGTACTTGATATATCTACTTTTTTCTACATACAAGCATCAATTAATTAGAATAGATAACAGAAGCAATGATCAATCAAGACACATTGTCAGTACCCCGTGATTTCCTTTGTCCAATAACTCGAGAAATTATGCAAAATCCTGTGTTACTTATTGAAGATGTAAGTTTATTTGACAATAAAAATATATATTATACATATAATATTAATATAGGGTCATTCATATGAATTACATGCTATAGAACGTTGGTTACAAGATCATAATTCTTCACCAATGACAAATAAACCTTTGGATGATCGTCGTTTTGTAAATAATTTTAATTTAAAAAATGCTATTGAAGAATATTGTGCACAACAAAAAATGATTTTATCTGCTAATCAATTTCTTACATTTAATATTCGTTATAGTCGTATCCCTACTGCATGGAATTATAAACCTACACTTCATATTCGTCTTAGTCTTCTTGGTAGTTCAAATACTGGTAAAACAACACTTGCTCGTTATCTTCAATATGGTTTACAATCAAATCTTACACATTCAAGTTCTCCAGTAACTGTAGGACCTGATATTTACTTCTTTTATTTGGATCAATTATATGAAGATAAATATGTTATTATAATTCAACTTTCTGATATACCTGGCATGGAACGTTTTGAATCATGTTGTGATAACCATTTTCGTACTTGTCATGGTGCACTTTTAGTTACTGATGCAACAGATATTGATACACTGGAACGTGTAGAACTTCATTGGTATCAACAATTACAATTAAAAGGAAAAGAATATGTTGAATCAATACTTGTTTGCAATAAAATCGATTTATTTGAAACAAATTGTGATGATGATTATCGACGAATATTTTTGGAACGAGCTGAATATTTTGCATCATTACATAAAATGTCTATCTGTTATACATCTGCATTACTTGGTGATAATATTCAATTTATGTTTAAACAATTGATATTAAGAATTCTACAAAATGAATCATTATTACAACAGATCAAAGAAAATACTTCTATGAATAATAAATCATCGATTAAACTAGAACCAATACGATCTACATCTTCTATTCAAGCTTCATTTGAACCATCATGCACACAAAATGATTGTGATAGAAATTCATCTCGGAATTGTTGTTTAACTGCTTGATTTTTTTATTTTTTTATTTTTTTGTGAATATATATGGTCGGGAAAATATAAGATCTTTTAAAAACTCTAAAAAAATTGTCTGAATTTAATTTTACATTATAAAAATACACCAAGAGGTTCTTTCAAGATCATTTTGTTAACATTAGTAATGTTTACTGTCAAGTGAAGGTTTTCACCCCGTCTATACGCGTCAATGGAACGAATTAAAAAGTTACATATGGATAAAGTTGCCAATCAGAAATATTCACTGTAGAACATCAACTTACTGATAAAATTCTTGTTCACGATGTTCTCACAAACATAGTTGATGATGATCTTAGAAAATAACTATCGAAAATTTATCATAATGTTAAACGTGTCGAGCAATGTTACTATAAAGATGAGTTTGAAGGTCGAACGGAACGCGCGTTCAAATAGGTTTCTCATCATCAGCAAACACTGAAATTATCCGTCAAAACGGTTTGATTGTCATCGGTAGGCTTTGTAGTCCCATGACGGCTTTAAAATCAAGTATGCATCTACGGAGCCAGTTCAAAAGTGACAATGGATCAGATTGTCAACCTAGATATTCACTAAACAAGACATACTGCAAAAATAGGAAGTGAAACATCACTCCATCAAAAAATTAAGTTAACTCATTTCATACTGATCAAATTGCCAAAACTTTATCTTGAGACATGTATCTTTTGAATTCTAGAATAAAAAATAAAAGTGTGTACCATCATAACTTGCTCAACATGATACATAATCAGTGTTCTTCAATTTCACCCAACAATCGTACGTATACAAGAGTGAGAATAGTTTGTTATGGTTGCATTAATGAACTTCAAACAAAATAGGGCAATTTTTCAATAACAATATCATCTTGAGTTGTGTCTTTTGACACCGAATGTTTTTGACTAATAGCTGGGTGCTTTTTCTCGAAAGACTATCACAATAACATTGGCTTTCTCTCAACAAGCGATGTGATCAAAATCCAACATTGTGTTCATATGTACTAGATTATCACTTATAAAAAGATTCATCAACTATATCATATTGTGATTCATTTAAAGAAAATTATTTTCTTCCGACCGCTCTTTTTTTGCATCCGAATAAAGACGGTTTGTATTGAGAGATACTAGTTAGATAGACGTTAATAGAAAAAAAGAACAATATTTACGCAAAGAAAACTATCCCAGATTTGATGTAGTTGGCTCTCTTAATTAATACTTGTTCCGAAAATTCTGATGAAAAAAAAGAATTTCATAACTTTGAAAACTGCTAAAAAGAATATGACAAAACTAAAGGCATATTCAATCTTTCGTTTCAAAAGAGTATCCAAATAGTGGACTATCTAAAATTAAATAATACTTATCCATCGACATGTTTCAAGTGCATACCATCGACGAATCTAAAATGGAAAAANAAAAATAAGCTATTTCGTAGATAAGTTAAGTGATTATGTGGATTCGCATTCTGAGTAAAAGACTCTTGTCATGATATAAAAATGTGCCAACACTTAAAAAAGCATTTCGTCATATCACACTCACAAATATGTGGCTTAAAAGAAGCTATTCTCGGCATAGATTTTATGACTATAGCATAGCAGTATGTGTTTGTATATTAAGGGTGTGGGTGGGTGCGGCGTGTGAGCTGTATGGGTGACATAATACCACCCTCATACCCACATCCACATCCCAGAGACATTTGCTATCCCTGGGTCTTTCACGTAAATATGACCAAAAACAAACCAGATTAATATTTACTAGGTAGAGAAAAAGAAATTTTAGACATGAGATATTGCATCACAATTTGACTTTGATACAGTGCTTTCTGAGGTTCAAATTCGAAGCATTTAACATCTGGAAGTTTGAAAAGTAACAAATCAGTGTCTTTTAATATTCACCATGAGCAAAGGTCTTCATACTGATAAGTTTTCGCGTAAAAATGAAAACTTAAACACAAGTGCATAGTTTCACTAAAACTATCAGTATTTAATGAGAATCAAATAGGTACTTGTTGAACGAAATTTTGGCTAAATATTAAATAAAGTAAGTAAATGTTTTAAATTTTCCATATCAGTGTTCAACTGCACAAGCATATTCTCGATAAGTGCTAGTTTTAGTCCTTTTCAGTCGATAAAATTCGCATTTATCATGCAATATTTGATCTAAAATCCATCCAATCCGCTATTATCTATTTATTTTTCAATTCGAATATCTGCATCATATATTCGTTTTCAATCTAAACAATTAATTAGATTACAGTTTATTCATGATTACAAATATATAATCGAAGTATAAAATATAAAACGTATGCATGGCATTGCGGACCAAACAACACAGATAATCATTAGAAATTAAGAGAAATTGTCAATCATTTTTTTCTCTCTAAATAATGAAGGAAAATTAAAATAAAACATATAAAAAAAAACTATTTCTTACTGGTTGAAGTTGCTTGGAGAAGTTCAGTTTTTAATCGAAGTAGTTCATATTCATGATCGAGTTTAGCAGTCTCCATTTCAACCATAAATTCATCTAGAAAATGAGGTCAGCATATGAATATCAATTGCATTATTATAAATTTACTTTTTGTTAAGATAATTCTCGTTTCATATTCAGCAATTTTTTCTGTCATAAGCTTTTCCTGAGCTTGTTTATCTTCTGCATATTTTTGTTCAAGATTGGCTTGTTTTTGAAGAAGATCATCATACATTAGCTGTAGATCATTTAATTGTTTCGTTGATTGATCATTTGAAACTTGTTTTTCTATCATTCCATTACTATCTTGATTTTTGAATTGTTGTTCATTTTGTTTTTTAAAATCATCAAGCTCTTGTTTAAGTTTTTCATTTATTTGCATTAAATTTTCCGTCTAAATAAAGAGGAAAAAAACTGTTAGCGCAATCCTACGGGATTAAAACGTGAAACATGATGTAGCAGCTATTGATAATTACAGAGAGATTGTTTTATTCTATCTATTTCAGAATACATTTCTTCACCATGGTTTTACTTAATCTTCGAGAAATGCAACGAGGAAGTAATTCATATATTATAAAAGACGTTATTGATGCACGATCTTGGATCATACATCAATAACGTTTGTCACGTCTGTGATGTGTCGTTGTTAAGATGCCAGTCATATCTGTGATAAGCTATTTCTAACGTGTCTGTCGTGCTTAGAGGTGTAAGCCGATGCAATGATCGGCAATGACTGAAATTGTTAGATGAACTTTTAAAATGAAAAAGAGAGAAAATTATGCTACAGAACTTATTGACAATAAACCAGACGACATCATCTACAAAACTTCATTTGGGATGTCGAAAATTAGAAAAAGAATCAAATATCTTTGTTTGGTTTGCAGCGACGGCGGCTCAATCGATTGGTTTATACCTCTACCCACGGTCTGACGATTCCGTCTAGGATGGTCTGTGGGCTGGGTGAAAGTGCATATTTCTACCCTCTAATACTTTAACATTCCTTTTAGATCGTGTCTCACAATAGTTTACTAAGTGATGATTTAACTTACTTGCTGAATAAGTTTATTTTGTGTTTGTTCATATTGTTGTTTGATATTGACTAGTTCTTTCATTTCTTGATGTTGTTGATCAAGTTTCGTTTCTAGTTGATTTATTTGTTCCATTTTATTTTCATTTTGCTGTTGTAGTTCTTCAATATTTTTATTTAATTGATCGAATTTCGATTCATATTCCTTTATTTGTTGTTCTGTTTCATTCAATTCATTATTTTTTGTATCATCTATGAAAAAAGTATATACTTAGAGAGGAAAATGTGCGAAAAAAATACGAACGATATTCTTTTAATTCGATATTTTGTGTTTTGAGAATTTCAATTTGTTTTCAAAATCTTGTGGGTGAGTGTGGTTATGGTTGTGTCTGAAGGAGAAACCCACACCCATATCTTGCTGATTACCGGCAAAAAGATAGAGTTTACTTGATTTTTTAACTACTGGTTGTACGAAAAAGAGTTTAGACTTCAGACTTGATCAAACAATCTAGTCTTAGGGGTTATTAAAACGTTGGATCGACAAAAAAAGCATAAGATTGAAAACTTTACTTATCGTTTTAACTATCAGAGATGGAATAGATCTAGATTTTTCACGACTGGTCCGGTACACGTCTAAATAGGCCTGATCAGATCGAACCGATTGGTCTACCCATTACCGGCCGATCTTCGATGACGCGCTCGATCTAAAACGCGTATCGATGTCGGACTAACGGGTCATCATACTGTTCTATCTGTGAATAATGATATTTGACACAGTCAAATTTCAACAGGGTTTCATTGAATGGTGTCATAATCCCGTTACACCCNTGGTTCATCAAAAATCAACAGTTTATCATGAGTTCTAAAAGAGAAATGCACTGGAATAAGCAATGTAGTCTTCTTTTTATCAATTTTATTCTAATTTTTTTATTAAATTCGCATTATTTATCGTGAAAACGTTAGTTGCTGCGGAAACAACGCCCCATGAGTTCCGTTACGATGGTTTTGTGAAGCAGTTACGGCCGTACTGCGACTTCACTATGATTTCGTAATTGCCAAAACAGGCGACGTATCTACGCCTAAGTACATCATTGTTTTCCACAATTTCGATTGAATTGTCGCGCATTTATACGTGCTTACGATAGAAGAATCGCAATCATGTGTAGCTATGATAAAAGTATTGCATTTACGCGTAGCCGTGCTGGCATGTTTGGTAATTACGAGTCACATCGTGATCGCACTACGACCATAACTACAGAAAAAGTCAATTAAAGTCGAACAAATGAGTCGTCATTAATTTATCTCAGTTTAGAATGCTATAGGTAGTACTGCGATTTACTCTAATAGTGAATTGTTCTTACTAATAACAATTTTTGAGGCGTCATCCTTAATATATATTTAAACATGTACACTTAGTAAAAACAGCAATTTTTAACTAGCAGCATCAATTAGAACTTGATAATGACTGAGGTCTGACATTTTTCTAAGAAGTTAGAAGTATTCATCGAAAGAGATATAAAAAGAATCTCAAGCAGACAGAAGATCCGCGGTTAATTGTATGTTTCACCTCACTGTAACTAGAACAGTTAACAGTGGCTAATCAAATTTTTTCACTTGGCTATCGAGGTATGGATATTAAAGGATCTTTCATTGCTGTTCGATTGCTTAAAATGTGCTTTGTTTAATCAAGAAATATCACATTTGAAACGAACAAAAATGCGGTGATAGAGACAACAATTAAAGTTTCATAACAGAGCGCCAAAATATACTATGCCGAAAAAAATGAAGAAATAGTTAGTTACGCATTGGTTTATTTTTAATTAAACATCGTATTTGTCATGTTCGATATAGTGAACTTAGGCATATTTTTTATTGAAAGTATGGCACATGTGCTCTAGCGATAAACATGTTAAGAAGTGATAAATAATTGCCATAGCTGAATTAGACGTTGAATTATTAGTACTTCTGTATGATTTATCTTTCTTAACTTTTCGACGGCGCCATGCTAGGAAATTTGATATATTGAGTAACATGCCATCAATGATAAAATTGGTTTTATCCTCTTTGTACTTGACGAAAGGTGAACGCCATTAAAAACGTATTTAGAAGAAGAGATGCATAAAACTAAGCAAAATTATCAGTTGAGTACAAATAAACGATTATTTAAAATTGAAGAACATACAGATGGTTAATTGATTATGTTTGTAGCTGAATTTCACATCTGACTAATCACTTTTTACAGGTTATTTCTGTTATTAATCCAACTCTAAAATTAACTTAACACAGATCACCTAATTATAAAACAAACAACAGATTTGTAATATTAATAGTCATACTTACATCAGCAATTGTTACGAGCATTATCTAAGCAATTACATATGATATCTTGTTTTCAGTTGGATGCACTGTTTGAAATCAATTTTTCTTTTAATAAACGAACAATACTGGTAACATGATAGAAACCGTATCAGACTTCTTCATCATTATTAATGACAGTTAACTAAGCGAACAATATCAATAATCATTGTCGCTAAAAATAAGTTCAACAAAGCAATGAGACATACTCTCCACATTGTGAGATTTGTATTGAGAAAAGCTGATTTCGTATGCATTCCATTCTGAATCATGATTACAAAACGTGATCTATAATCTTAATTGTTTTGTAATTGTAGGCAGAGAAATATCATTTGCTGCCACTTGAATTCTATGACATTTGATTCATTGAATTTTTTGCGTTAGAAAATCATACTCGCACTGGACAAAGTACAGATGGGTAGGATATGGAATGTAAGCGGATATACATATTATAATAAAGATGTTAACTTTTCGGTGATATGCATTACTAGCTAATTGTAAGATTGTAAATACAAATAGCATCAAATCACGTAGCTTTGACGGTGAAAATTAAATCAATTTACATATAGTATTACTGTGACCTCTACCCTTATCACATGAACGAAAATAAAATAAAAAAAGCAGGATATATATATATATATATGGAGAAAGGGAGGGAGAACAAGACAAACATTGTTTCTTATATAGACAGTTGCCATCCCTCGATCTTTCAATTAAATATGACCGAAAATTAGCCAGATTAATATTTACTATGTAGAGAAAAAAATATTTTAGACATAAGATATTGCATCACAATTTGACTTTGATACTGTGCTTTCTGATGTTCAAATTCGAAACATATAACATCAAGAGGTTTGAAAAGTAACCAATCAGTGTCTTTTAATATTCACCATGAACAAAAAAATACATACTCATTATTTTCTGCGTAAAAATGAAAACTTAAACACAAGTGCATAGTTTCACTACAATTATGATCATTTGAGAATAAAATAGGCACTTGTTGAACAAACTTTCGGCTAAATATTAAATAAAGCAAGCAAATGTTTTAAATTTTCCATATCAGTGTTCAACTGCATAAACATATTTTCGGTAAGTGCTAGTTTCAGTCCTTTTCAATAGATAAAATTAGCATTTATCACGCAATACCTGATCTAAAATCCATTCAATCAGCTATTGTCTATTTATTTTTCAATCCGAATATCTGCATAATATATTCGTTTTCAATCTAAAAAATTAATTAGATTACAGTTTATTCATGATTACAAATATATAATCTAAGTATAAAATATAAAAAGTATGTATGGCCTTGTGAACCAAACAACACACAGAGAATCATTAGAAATTAGGAAAAATTGTCAATCATTTTTTTTTCTCTAAATAATAAAAGAAAATTTTATTAAAATAAAATAGATATAGAAAAAAAGAATTTCTTACTGGTTGAAGTTGCTTGGTGAAGTTCAGCTTTTAATCGAAGTAGTTCTTGTTCATGATCGAGCTTAGTATTCTCCATTTCAACCATAAATTCGTCTAGAAAACGAGGTCAGCATATGAATATCAATTGCATTATCATAAATTTACTTTGTTTTAATATAATTTTCGTTTCATATTCAGCAATTCTTTCTTTCATAAGTTGTTCCTGAGCTTGTTTATCTTCTGCATATTTTTGTTCAAGATTAGCTTGTTTTTGAAGAAGATCATCATACATTAGCTGTAGATCATTTAATTGTTTCGTTAATAGGTTATCCGAAACGTGTTTTTCTGTCGTTTCGTCACTATCTTGGTTTGTCAATTGCTGTTCATTTTGATTTATAAAATCTTCACGCTCTTGTTTAAGTTTTTCATTTATTTGCGTTAAATTTTCCATCTAAATAAGGAGGACAAAAAGCTGTTAGCGGAATCCAGACAAGATTCAAACGTGAAACATGATGTAGCTACTATTGTTAATTACAGAGAGACTGTTTTATTCTATCTATTTCAGAACACATTTCTTCATCATTGTTTTACTTAATTCTCGAGAGAGACTATGAAGAAATATTTTCATATATTATAAAAGACGTTATTGATGCACTATCTTGGATCATATATCAATAACATTTGTCGTGTCTGTGATATGTCGTTGATGAGAGACCTGTCATATATGTGATAAGCTGTTTCTAATGTGTATGTCACGATTTGAGATGTAAGCCGATGCATTGATCGGTAATGGCTGAAATTGTTAGATGAATTTTCAAAAAATTTTCTTAAATTCGAAAAATTTTGAAATCAAAAAGAGAGAAAATGGTAAGAGTGCATATTTCTACTCTCTATACTTTAACGCTTCGTTTAGATCGTGTCTCAGAATAGTTTACTAAGTAATGATTTAACTTACACGTTGATTAAGATCATTTTGTGTTTGTTCATATTGTTGTTTGATATTGGTTATTTCTTTAATTTCTTGATGTTGTTGATCAAGTTCCGTTTTTAGTTGATTTATTTGTTCAATTTTACCTTCATTTTGTTGTTGTAGTTCTTCAATATTTTTATTTAATTGATCGAATTTCAATTCATATTCCTTGATTTGTTGTTCCGTTTCATTCAATTCATTATTTTTTGTATCATCTATGAAAAAAGCATATACATAGAGAAGAGAATGTGTGAAAAAAATACGAACGATATCGTTGTAATTCGATATTTTGCGTTTTGAGAATTTCAGTTTGTTTTTCAAAATCTTGTTGCAGTGACATAATTAAATTATTTAATATTTTGTCATTAGATTCTTTTTCTTCTTGTAGATTTGCTAATTCAGATTTAATATTTTGAATTTCATTTAGAGAAAGTTCTAAATTCTTTTGATATTCATCAATCTGTTGTTTATATTGCGATTCAAGTTCATTAAGAATCATATTTTCTTTCAGTCCGAAGATGAAAATTTAAAAATTTGATTAAAAAATAAGACAACAAAAATTTACCTCTTTCGTTTAGTTTATTTGAAAGTTCTTCATCATCATGTTTTAAAGTATTGATAGTTTCGTTAAATTGATTTTCAATGGTAGTTTTTTCTTCTCGTAATTTAGTTACTTCAGATTGCACTTTTTGCATTTCAAGAAGTGATTCATCTATCTTGTTTTGATATTCTTTTATTTGTGATTGATAGTGAGCATCACGTTCGTTTATAGCCATATTTTGTATGCGATCTAGATGATAGATATGAGATAGATATGAGAAAAAGCAGTATAACTAAAACCTCGATCTTGTAATTCAGTTTCTAATCTTTCAATATCTTGTTTTAATGACTTGTTTGCATCATCGAATTTTGATTTTTCTTCTAGTAATTTTGCTAATTGATTTTGAATATGTTGAGTTTCAAGAAGAGCTTCTTCTAATTTAACTGGATAGTCTTTTATTTGTTGTTCAAATTCTGCTTCGCGTTGATGTAAAATCTTATGTGCTGTATGTTCTATTATTTAAAAACAAAAGACGATGTTCAATGAAATAGATAAAATGAACTAACCTCGTTCATTTAATTCATCTATTTCAGTTTGAAATTCTTTACATTGTCTTTCATGATCTTGTTTTAATGTATTAACAGTTTCATTGAATTCATTTTCGATAGTAATTTTTTCTTCTCGTAATTTAGTTAATTCAGATTGAAGATCTTGTATTTCAAGAAGTGATTGATCTCTCTGCGTTTGATATTCTTTTATTTGGGATTGATAATAATCTTCACTTTCATTTGTTGCCATGTTTTGTGTTTGATCTATACAATAGAAATGAGATAATTAGACATGGAAAAAAGAAGTGTTATTGAACCTTGATCTTGTAATTCAAGTTTAAGAGTTTCATAATCGTGTTTTAATTTAATAATTGTATCATTTAATTGTTTTTCATGAAACACTTTTTCTTCTTGTAAATTCGTTAATTCAGCTCGAAGAATTTCTATTTCATGAATATCCTGATCTTTCTTAATTTGATATTCTTTTATTCGTAATTCATAAAAAGCATCACGTTCCTTCAGTGTCATATTATGAGTGTGATCTATGATAGATATCAAAACAAAAATAGGCAAAACAAATAGTAAAAATCAAACCTCCATCTTGTAATTCAATTTTAAGTCTTTCAATATCTTGTTTTAATGACTTGTTTGTATCATCGAATTTCGCTTTTTCTTCCAGTAATTCTGTTAATTGATTTTGAATATGGTCAGTTCCAAGAATAGCTTCTTCTATTTTATCTTGATAGTCTTTTATTTGTTGTTCAAATTCTGCTTCACGTTGATGTACAGTTTTATGTGCTTTACGCTCTATCATTTAAAAAAGAAGAAGAACTTCAATGAAATAAATAAAAACAACTAACCTCGTTCATTTAATTCATCTATTTCAGTTTGAAGTTCTTTATATTGTCTTTCATGATCTTTTTTTAATGTATTAATAGTTTGCTTGAATTGATTTTCGCTGGTAGTTTTCTCTTCTCGTAACTTAATTAATTCAGATTGAAGATTTTGGATTTCAAGAAGTGATTGATCTCTTTTGGTTTCAAATTCTTTCATTTGGAATTGATGAAGAGCTTCACGTTCGTTTATTATCACGTTTTGTGTCTGGTCTATATAATAGAAAAATATGATAGACATAAGAAAAAAGAGCATAATCAAACCTCGTTCTTGTAATTCAAACGTAAGAGTATCATAATCGTGTTGTAATTTATTAATCATATCATTGAATTGGTTTTCCTCATGTGCTTTTTCTTGTTGTAAATCTGTTAGTTCAGTTTGAAGAGTTTCTATTTCACGAATATGCTGATCTATTTTAATTTGATATTCTTTTATTTGTATTTCATAATGACCAATACGTTCGTTTAAGATAATATTACTTGTATGATCTAGAGAAAGAATAAGATAGAAATTCAATAAAGAAATAATAATTTTAACCTTTATGTTGTAATTCAGCTAATTGACTTTTTAAGATTTCATATTGTTTTTCATAATCTTGTTTTAATGAATTAATAGTATTATTAGACTTATTGTCATGCATTTTTTTTTCTTCTTCTAATTTAACCAATTCATTTTGAATATTTTGAGTTTCATGCATTGCTTGATTTAAATTATTTTCATATTCTTTTATTTGTCCTTCATAATATGATTCACGTTGACTCAAAGTCATTTTTGCTGTATATTCTATAATAAAAATGGACAATAAAAACAAAACCAAAAGAAGTAAAGGAAACAATAAATTAACCTCGTTCGTTTAATTCCTTTAATTCATCTTGAACTTTTTCATAATTTTCTTTTAATTCATCAATTAAAGATTTAGTATTCTTTTCTTTTAAACCATTTTCTTCTTGTAGTTGTTTTAATTCAGCTCGAATTTTTTGTGCTTCCTGAGTAGCTCGATCAATATTAGCTTGATATTCTTTTATTTGTTGTTGATAATATGTTTCGCGTTCACTCAGTGCCATATTAACTGTGGAATCTTAGAGAAATAAGAGAAAAAAAATGAATTAGTTAGCAATAAAAAGTGATGTACCTCGATTTTGTAATTCTGATTTGAGTGTTTGACATTCTTTTTCCACAGCAGGAACAATACTTTCTTTATATTGTTTTAGTTCATCAAATAAATCCTTAACTTGTTTGTCATTCAAATGTTTCTCTTGTTCTAGTGTTGCTAGTTGTAATCGGTTCTAAAAGTTTCATATACAATTTTTGAGAAACATTAGAATTAAATGAAGATATGATTTTCTAGAATTATTAGTTGATCGATTTATAATGACCGAAATTAGAGTTTAGGTTTCTGTTTTCTTTCTTCTGAAATATGCTTAAAATCTGATTGAGTAGCCATGCTATATTATAATCTATGAATAGAGATTTTTTTAAAAATAGAATGATTAAATAATGATTTTTCTATAGAGAATGATCGGGATGCATCAATTTGAGTTTTTACACTAAACATAACATGTTTGCCGCACTTGGAACCACTAATTCTAGTCAGGTATTCCAGTAAAACTTACGAATGAACCTCTCCATAATAGATATTGCATAGTATTTAGTTTCTAATGCAACATTGTGGAAATATTGAATTTTTAATATGTCTATTTCCCAGAGCCCTTGCAGGAAGTTAGATTTTCGGGAAAGATCGTGTTTTCAAATTTCGCCTTGAAACTCACTCCATGCGAGTTTCAGAGTTTGAAGACTTTATATCTTTAAGCTACGAACCTTGCGAAACGTAATGAGTAATACAAGAATATGTTGAGAAGTTTGCATGTTGAATATACGAACTACGAGATTTTCAGATGTCGGTACCTTGAAGATAATATTTCAAAGCGCAATTTTTCCGAAAAGATTGGGATCTCTGACAAATAGATGTATTAAAAGTGCAAATAGTTCCATCAAGTTTCAATAGGATCTGAAACGCTTTTAGGATTTCCATTAGAAGTAGTAGCTGTAAGCAGAAAATGATTGAAATCAGAAAGTAAGACATCTGAGAAGATTCTCTTGTTAGTTTATTTTTATCGCTGTGTCTGACGCTATTGCCGAATTTGATAAAATACGATTAATAAAAAAATGTAAGGCATGGTCAGAATTCATGCTTTCAAGTAACCATCCAGAATAAAAACCATGACGTTCTATTACGAGGGGATGCACTCTAAATATGCGATCTGTAGCATGAAAGGTATTACTGCTATCGCTGCAGAGTTCAAATGTGAAACACAATATAACTGCTGTGGCTACCAAAAAGTGCACTGCTTTATTCCATGCATTTTGGAACACTTTTCTTCGCCATTCTTTTGTTTAATTCTTCTCAAATGCAATAACCAAGTAGTTCATGTATTGTAACATGACGCTATTGATATAAGGTTTTTGATCGTATATCAACAATATCTATCATGGTTTATGATGGGTAGTCAGGATGAGTGCCTACTACGCTTTCTGTGGGAAGAAGGTGAAGAATTATAACTGGTCAGATTGATAATTACAGATCAGGATTCAGTTGAGAGAAAAACTTGAGATCCGAACCCGGTTGAATTCGGTGACAATCTCATAGACTCTACTGGGGAACGAGTAGATCTAAGTTTCTACCTCTAGTTTAGGACTTGTTTTAGATCGTGTTTCATAAAAAGTCAAAGAGTGGTGTATCTTCAGTGAATGACAAAAATTGATGTTTAAGCTTTTTGTTAAATGAATGTCATAGAGAGTCAAGTTCTATCTTACTTAGTAAAGTACTGTTCGATCTATCATTCAGTTAAGTTTCTACGAGATTTTATAGATAAGTTAAGAATCTAAAATGGTACAGTTTTGACTTTTGACCTTTGCATACAATCTCAAAAGACTATCCTTATGTTTTTCAGAACACATTGAATTTTTCCTTCCTAAACGTCTTGAAAAATATTATTTGTTAAAATAAAAAAGAAATGATACATTTTGATCTTGTTTAGTAATTTGATCAATTTTTGATTGATACTCAATGATTTGCTGTTTGTAGTATGTATCTTTTTCATTCAATTGAGTAGTTTTATTTTGTTCTAAAAAAATTAAAATATAGACAACAAGAATATAATTCGGAAAATGATCATTACCTTTATTTTGTAAATCAGATACTTGAATTTTGAGTGATTCAATTTGTTTTTCTAAATCATTAATAAACTTATTTATTTCTTTTTCGTTTTTTTTCATATCATTATATTGTTTTAAATCTTCTTGTAATATTTGTTTTTCATGTATTAAATTTTTATTAATTGATTCAAGTTGAATAAGTTTTTCTTTTGTTTGTTCATAATTTGTTATTTCATCTTGAAATAATAATTGATTATGATCGCCATCAGATATTTTTAAGAGGTCTGTATCTATTTCAGGATATTGATATTCTTCAATTTGAAATTGTAAATTTTCTAAACGTTGTTTTAATTCAGCTTGTTCTTTTATTAATTGTTCATTTTGTTTTTCTTTTGTTTCGTATTGTTGTTGTAATGTTGTCATATGTTTTTTCATTTGATTCATTTTTTCTATAGAATTCGAAAGTTCTAAATGATCTCTATCATTTTCTTTATTTAATTTTTCAATAAATAGATCTTTTTCTTTTATTTTTTCAAGTAAATCTGTTGTTTGTGTTGATGATAATGTCTCCTTCGATGTTATATCGGTAGAAAAATTTGGTTGACGAACTTTTGTTGGTAATCGTTGTAAAACATAACTCAAACTATTTGATGATGTTGAAAATTCAGAAAGGGTCGAATCTTGACTGGTCGTATCATGAAATTGATCACCTGAACCTGTTGACATGATCGACTGCCGAGAAAGTCGTCGGTCATCGTTGGAATCAGTGATGACTTTTTCAACACTATGTAAAGGAGCAAATATTCCAAAACGATGTGGACATGTAAAATATCGTTTTCCATCAACTTTACCATCATGTTTACCCAATGGACCATCTAATTTAATACCGCACCAAATACCTTCACTAAGATGTATTTTACCAATATATTTTAGTGTACCATATTTTGTTCCACGAATAACTACTCGATCGCCTATTTGAAGATTTTTAGTAGTTAGTTCTAATGTATGGTTAGTTTCATCTAGTAAATGATAAAAATATGAATAGATTCCATACAGAAATTATTTAGAAGAGTTTTTTTTTCTGCTTTAGATATGAATTTATTCTCTGGTTTTTCTACACACGAACAAAATCGTACAGTTCTTGAAAAAGGGACTTCACGAATATTGGAAATAGTTATTATGTAGAGTTTCATGTTTGTTCTCACTGAAACAAATTTTTATCTTCTAGTCGTAGATTAATTAGACGTAGCATAACTTTTTATTTCTATATCGAAAATAGTGTTCTGATAGAGATTTACACGAGATATAATCGTTGTAGTTGAGAAAAATCAAAAAATACTTCATGATTTTCAATGAAAAGTTTAATTGCAACTTCGAGTTTTGTTACAAAAATAGTTTTATTCGAATTTATCCTTTTCTCACTAATTCTTTGAATGCAACAACAATACATGTCTTGTTTTTTTCAACTGATTGTAATGAATGATTGGTTAAATAATTTCTTTTTTTGCATGAAAAAAAAACTCTACAAGCATTATCTAGCTGATGACTGAGAGTTTTCTCATAGTACAATTGTTGATTGATACCTATAGCAGACAATCTTGTTGGAGTGTATAATAGTGAATTTCTTTGAGAAGAACCATTAACGGATAAAGGTTGAACTTTATCAGGTCGACAGAAAAGACCACGATTAGCATCCGTTTCAAAATAGCGAATACCACCATGTGAACCATCTAAATGAAATAAAGAGATTGAATTTTTTGATTATTCAATTCTGGACAAAAGTAGCTGCCCCCTCTCTTTCATCAAATGCTAATATTTTTGATGCATGCATGCGATAATAAATCTGCTATTCATTGTTTCATATGTATCGACGTTATGATTCAAATATGATCATCTTCTTGTGATCATCTTATCTCAACCAAGTTGAAACAAATATTTTTCGTCCAAGCTTTCGCTGCAAAGTTGAATGTTATAGTTATTTCTCATCCAAATTTTATGAGAAGTTTTGAGTGCATATGTTGGCTCAATATATGTTTTTCACAAGGAAAAGTACATATGTGAATCATAAATCGAGTACATTTGAACCGATAGAGAACGGGTTGGTGTTTGGCACCTGGACTTATTGTCGTGCGCATGCACAGAAAAGATAAGATCAATATCATAAAGACTTGTAACACTTAATAGGTGGCAGCCACTTTTGTTCAGCACTATATTTACCATTTTTGCCTGTTGCTTCGTCTAGAACAATTCCAAGCCATTCACCTAATGTATAAAATTCAATTTCATAGAAAAATACATAATTAACTAAAAATGAATCAAACCTTCCGCAAACTGTGTTGAACCAATGAATGCTATTATTCCTGATGTACCATGAATACTAACTCGATCACCAATTCTGAATTTCTTATCTGGCGAGTCTTCTCTATGCGAATTTCTTTGTTGAGAATCTGTTGGTGTTCGTGGTTGACGAAAAACTATTTTTGTTGGTGATAAGGATGAATTATGTGTCGGTAATTTACTCATATGGAAATCTAAAAAATATTTATTTTAAATTTTATATAAATTGAACTCAATTGGTTATTCCTAACTGACAAGGGAGCCTACTCAAATGTTTTCTTCCGCTTTCAATGATTTTTCTTTTGTCCACAGATACTACATTGAGTTCTAAAAAGAAAATCTAAAACGATTTGAGTGCCTATTGAGATTTGACAAACGAGGGAATCGAGCCAAATGTCAAATTTCCTTTTCAATCGAGATGATGTTCACTTGATGAGTAAAAGAAAAATCTAGAATGCTCTGATTTCCTGAGCCTTCGTTCTTGAGGTATCAAAATTTTACTGGGTTTTTTAACACAAAATTGTAGTGTCTCCCTTAGATCACCTGGAAAATCGACTTTCGAGTTTTAACTTCAACTTCGCATGAACAAAGTTCTTAATGAAATTAGTTCATTGTGCAAGTTCTAGGCTTTCTAATATTTCCTTTCTGAAGATCTAAATATATGAATAACATTTTCAAATAATCAATATCGCAGAATAGGAGACACTAGAAAAGTTATAGCTTGCCCAGTGAACTAATTTCATTGAGAACTTTGTTCTTATAAAGCTTGAAGTCAAGAATCATAAATCGATTTTCTACATAATCGAAGAGGATCACAGTTCTTTGTTGAAAAATTCAGTAAAATTTCGATATCTCAAGAACAAAGGCTCAGAGAACCAAACCACTCTAGAATTTTCTATTATTCAGTAGTACTCATCAAGTGAACATAGTCTTCATTGAAAAACGATTTGACATCTGGAGAAGTTCCCTCGTAAACCATCGAATTTTCAACATAGCTATTCTCTAGAGGTTCGTATAGAACTAAAGATTTTCGAAAAATTCGTATTTTTGAATTTTGATCTGAAAGTTTGTGTACATAAAGAGCTCAACTAGGCTAGCACCCATTAAAAAAATTCACAAGTTTTTAACATGTCTTCAAGCTATGAGACTATCCTATATGCACAAAGTTTTAGATCAAAGTTCGATAGTTCAGTCATATATCCATAGAAACTCGAATCCTTTTGGAATGTTAAGTAGAACACTATGCAGTATCTATAGACAGAAACGTTATTGAAACCAGAAGAAATAATCTAAGGAAGCTTCCTTGTCAATAATATTTATGTGTCTGATATGAATTCGCAATAATATTCCATATTTATAGTATATTCAATTGAACATTATGTTTCAAATCTCTTGTCTTTAACGGNGCTCGATATCTCCTCAGAAACAAGCCAGAAACCCGAACTTTTTTTACCATAGACATAGCACACTATGGGCTACAAGATGCGCGAAACCCCGATTGAAAAGGGCTCCCGCACCTTGGAAGGTTCCTTAGTTAGAAATTTTCTTGTACACTTTTATATTTTCATTATTTCAATTAGAAAATAAATGTTGATATCTTTATTAATCTATTAGGTACTTTCAAGTTGTCTAAAATAATTATTTTCAAATATCCGACCATGAGTTTCATCTATGTTCGAAATTTAATGAAAATCTTTAAATAAAAACTTGTTTTCTTTGCTACCATATTCGAAAAATAATTTATTTTCTCAACAATATATTTTTTTCTCTTAGTATATATAATGAGTAAAATAAAAAAAACATCGATTAAATATTGAGATTAACGAGACTTATTGCTTTTGACGGATTTTAATATCTAAAGACTTTTCAAGGGATGTGCTGTTTCACTTTACTGGAGTACATTTCCTTGATCGATTCGAATATATTTTAAATTGTTAGTCAAACATTCTATATAATCATTATTTTTCTAAGCAGAAAATAGTTGTTTTTGTTTTTAATGTATTTGTATAATAATAGAGTTCATGGTGATGTATTTCGACCACCACAAAAAGGCATGCTTCTTGCTGTTCTTATTGGTAATGGTGTTCAAATTGCAATCATGTCATTAATTACTTTAAGTAAATTTATTCATGATCTTTGTTTTCATGTTCTTTTTCGTTTTGTTATTTAGTTTTTGCTTGTTTTGGCTTTCTTTCACCGGCAAGTCGTGGTGCGTTGATGACTTGTAAGTATTTTATAATAGAATTTTGTTTCATTCTTGTTTTTTTTTCTTCTCTAAATTCATCTCTAATAGGTGCTATTGTCTGTTATGTTCTTTTGGGTACACCGGCTGGTTATACATCAGCTCGTTTATATAAAAGTAAGATATTACATATTGCTTTGAATTTTCTTTTATTGTTTATTTTGTAGTGTTTGGTGGTGAAAGATGGAAGAAAAATGTTTTGATGACAGCTGTTGCATGTCCTGGGTATGATAAATAGATAATCATTTTTCTAAGGAACAAATAATTATGAATTTATTTTCTCATTATTTTTTAGCTTAATTTTTGGTATCTTTTTTATTTTAAATCTGGTTCTTTGGGCAAATGGCAGTTCAGCAGCTATTCCATTTACAACATTTTTAGCATTACTTGCTCTTTGGTTCTGTGTATCAACACCATTGGTATTTATTGGTGCCTATCTTGGTTTTAAACGACCAGTAAGAATATAGAAATAAAAAAAAAAAAAAAAAGAAGAAGGGAAACTATGTCAATTGAACAATCTTCTGTTTTTTTTTAAATTAAGGTTTCAGAAAATCCTGTTCGTACGAATCAAATTCCACGTCAAGTTCCCGAACAAACTTTATATACGAAACCACTACCAGGTAAAAAAAAATTGTTAACGTAATCTTTGCGAGATTAAAATGTGAAACACGATGTAGTTGTTGTTTTCATTATCCTTCTCAAGAATCTGAATAAGGAAGTATCTCATATATAGAACGAGACCTTATTGATATAAGGTCTGAGACGCAAGCAAGAAGAAGCACTATAAATATTCGGCGAATATTGGGTGAAAAATTCATAGTATAAGTTTTAATAGTTTAAATAGGGCGAGCGACTTTCCTTTTATCGTTTTGTAAAAACAAAACTTTTGCTTTTATCTATTTCGGATTCGAAAGAACGTTTATATTTGGAAAGAGTATCGAAAACTGCATTGTAAAAAACATTGTTTTTTTTTCTGGTTTGATCTTTGTGAAATGATAAAGCAATATTGAGCAGAAAACGAGATTTTTCGAAGGCAAAATAAAACACATATTCGCATAGTCGACGGTTTTAGATTGTGTTTCACAAGATAAGAATTTAGTTATGATTGAATAATTAATTTAATTTATTATCTAAGGTATTTTAATGGGTGGTATTCTGCCATTTGGTTGTATATTCATTCAACTATTTTTTATCTTGAACAGTATTTGGTAAATATTTTTCTTTTATTTTTATTAATTTAATTAATGTTGATAAATATAAAGGGCTCATCAATATTATTACTTTTTTGGATTTTTAATGGTCGTCTATATTATTCTGATAATAACATGTTCGGAAACAACAATTCTTCTTTGTTATTTCCATTTATGTGCTGAAGTAAGATTTTTATATTATTTCATAAAAAAAAAAAAAAAATTTATTTATTTAATTTATAGGATTATAATTGGTGGTGGCGATCATTTTTAACATCGGGTTTTACTGCTGTGTACTTTTTTCTCTATTCAATTTATTATTTTTCAACAAAATTAGAAATATCCGATGGAACATCAACATTTCTATATTTTGGTTATACAGTTATGCTTACATTTATTTTATTTCTATTTACGGGTAAGTTGAAATAAATGTTGAAGAAAGCATGATAAAATTGTATGGTTCATTGTTCTTTTTTTTCTTCTCTAAAGGTACAATCGGATTTCTTGCTTGTTTCTGGTTTGTTCGTATAATCTATTCTGTCATTAAAGTAGATTAAAAAAAAAAAGGCTTGATAAAAGACGAAAAGACAAGATATTGTGATGAATGCTTGCAAAACAAGCTTATTTCTTTTTTTTTTTCGTTTTCAAACTTTATCATTTTTTCTGTCGTCTCTTTTCTTTCTCAGTTAAATATGTTATGTCAATAAACGTGTTGTCCGTTGGTTTAGCTTTTCTTTGTCTGTTTAATTATATTTAACATTAATTTCTTCTTTTTTTTTCGAGCAAAATCGGATATGCTTAAATATTCGATGAACAAACGAAAAAAAAAATCATATTATTTTTTTTCTCCGTTTAGTTTTTTTTTTCTTCACTTTCTTCTCACATATTATCATTCGTTTGCATTCTTTCTCTCAGTTGTTATTACAAATAAAGGACGAAGAATAAACTATATTGCATGTAATGGATTTCTATTTGATGTTATTTGGTAGTCGAATTAATATTTTCCCAAGTTAATTTTTTTATTATTTTTGTTCTCGATGATTATTTTGAAAAACGAGAATCGTTGAAATAAAGATTTTCAGAAATACATCAGAAACGTTTCGGTACGACTCTTTTAATGTCATAGTTATGTTTTTGTAAAAAAAAAAAAAAGAAGAAAAGTATTCTTTTTGAAGACGTCATTCGATGTCTCTTACAGCCAGACTATTTATAAACTCTTAGAAAATGTTATAGTTCAGCCGAAATCGCGCTTCCTTGAAAATATGAGCGAGATTATGCTACCGGTACTAGCCACGTCAACTGTTTTTGATTAGTTAACTTTCCAGTTTGATTATTTACTAAAGATGACGCCACATAAAACTAGTCATTAGTTTGAAACCTTAACCAGTGGGAAAAAGTATCGCGACATCTGACAAAATATTCTGTGTCATATTACAAGCGACTTTTTGATCAAGATAAACTGCATCTCAATGGCAAGTATGACTAGTTTTTGAACGTTTGAGAAGTTGGCAGTGGACTCGAGTTTCTCTTGCTGGCATCCGCTTCTGAACTTGTGATGGCTCTCTAATAGGTCGCAGTGGATGTAGATTTCGCTTTCCTATAAAATCTTGTTATTTTTGAAAGATGCCACCAAGGAAACAGTATGAGTTTCGTAGAAAAACCGAGTTTTTGATCGATGGCTACCAATATTGTGTAAGTTGCATGTAAAAGCTTGTGAGAGCTTTGTTAATGTTCGTTTGGAAAGGTTTTGGCATTCGATGAAACTTACTATCGCTCAAAATATTATATAGAGTCTCATATAATGTGATGTATGTAATAAAAATCATTACAAATATTCTTTCTTGCTGAATTTTTTTCTACAATGATTGTTGATCTATTGACGCCTATTGATTGATGTGATGTAGGCTTTCGTTTTTCTCATCATGAATGACTTCGTATCCATTTTATGATCGGTGGAAAATAGTAAAGCTGAAGTAAACTGCACGAGTAGATTTGAATGATGTTTTCTGTGAACCACAACAAAAGTAGATAATGCTGAAGATAGATGTTAGATCCTTATATACGGCGTTAAGAGTGGTCTCAAGTTTGTGTCTTGGTAGATCATTGTACTTTTACTTATCATGAGAATAACCGCACTTGTTGTTGCTTAATGAATATTTACTTTTTTTTTAATCTCTATCTGATGCTGTTCCTCATATTGTATATACTTCATCAATTAATCGCGTATTCCGATCTTTCTTTCAGGTCTATCTTCTACCTTCATGCATATATATTTTTTTTCCCGTCTTGTCGTTCTGTGCAGTCTCTCATCTAAGTCTCTCTCTTGCTCTATATCGTCTTACCAGCATTTCATTGATACTTAATTTAATGCCCTTTTGATATTCGTGTCAATACATTGATACTTATTAAAGAACTCTCCAATGTCTACAGCAATCTATGAAAAATTTCTTAATAAGTTAATAGATTGAAAGATTAAATACCTAAATATTAGAAAAAGCCTACAAAATTATTCAAAGATTATTGTGTCATATTGATAAAACAGTGTTCGAAACTCAGCACATTTACTATTGTTTATTTGAATATATAATGTTTTTCATGTTTTTGTTTTGTTTTTGAATATACCTCGACCGTTTCAAAACTATCGAAGTCAGGTATTTGCCATGTGATAGAGCAAGTCAGGAGATATCTATCTATCTAAAACTTATATGATGATTGAAGAAGTTTTTTGCAAAAATGTTTAGATTAATGCCTTCTTTATTAGAGTTTCTCATTGATTTTTCAATCCATTTACACTTAAACAATATCAAAGAATATATTCAGCAATTCTTTATTCATAATGAAATTTTCAAAACTCTTTCATTTTCATGAAATTATCCTTCAAATTAATGACATCAAAATCCTAAAATATTGTAATGAATATAATAAAACATTAATTTGAAAATTACCACTAAGAAATTCTTCGACTATAATTAATGGCGTGTATATAGACGTCTGCAGTTTGTTCTATAAAATAGCACAAGTCTGATCTCGATTGTTGTTCAAAAATCAACGAAGGACATTACATTTTCAAACAGAACAGAATAATAGACTGGTTTGTAGAGGAACAATAACTCTATCTCATGGTTAATATACACTTACTATAATCCCTCTTCGGATTTCAACAGATGATGTTATATTCGACAAATAAAGGATACAAATGTAACGTCACTCGATAATAAGATCTTTTCAGTAATATTAATATCACATTCATTACTACATAGAGAATTTCTCACACGTATCCTATCTCTTTATTTCTCTTCTTACAAACTTGCATATGTCTCATTTTTGTATGAACAAATTGTAATATTTGATTATTGCTGAAATCATGTCTCACAATAAAAGATATCAGACAATCTGATGACAATAATTAAGTCAGGATTTGGGGTTAGGGTGGTTACTCTCTTGTTTCTATCACTTTCTAACTAATGTATGAAATAAGACTAAATTATACAGACCAATTTTCAAAACTTATCTCTAATCGAACCACTTTAATGTAATTAAACTGATCTGATATATGCTTTTCTATTTGATGAGTCTTCAACGAGTTTTTGTGTTTTTTTAAATCACATTAGGCTTCATGGACTCCTATTCATATTGAAACAAAGTCAACAACAATATATGATAGTCATTAACAAGAGCATTTAAAACTTGACCAGGAGTGTGGACAACAACAAAGTCGTGCTACTGTTATTAATAGTACTTATCGAGAAGATAATCGACTAGAGTATAATGATGAATATGGTAATGATGATAGTAGAATAAAACAACAATCGAGTAGACATGAAGAAAATATTATTGAAAATCATTTTAATGTTAATACCTTCAGACAATTACAGTCAAATATTAAGCAAAATCAAAGATCATTTGTAGAATAATCTTTTATTAGAGTTTATTAATGATAAAAATAATTTTATTTATAGCCAATGCGTTTATCACCACAATCTCCATGGAGAAAAGGATCAGACATTGAAAAGAAACTTGAACAAGATCGATCATTAACCCAACGGTAAGAAAATAAACTAAAATATCCTGTAGAGTAGTGCACAGGTAAACATATTTCTACTCATACCCTACCCATCTCGTGCCCATATATGTTATGTTCTTATCGGTGCCTCTATTCACACATTAATATCTACATTTTCACCTTTTTCGCATTATAATCTCAACCATAGTTTAAAATATGATATCACTATCTTATTCAATTTGATTAAACAAAAATCAAGTAACAATATTTTTATGACTATCCAAAATAGTGACGAAGAAATTAGAGTACGATTCGGGTACTCATTTTCGTAGACGTATTCGTACCGGTCAATATCATATCGGACCCGTAGGCTATAGTACTCTACTCTCCTGCTTAACGATTCTTATTGTCAACTTTCGTGAAAGAATAAATGCAAATGATTTATTCATTAGTCTATTTGATTAGTAATTGACACTGTCAAAGCTAAATATTCGAAAGGAATAATCACATTCTGATCTATAATTTTGTCAAAATAAAATAAATTTTTAAGAGAATATTGAAATGAAGTATAAAGACAAGGGTTTATGACTTTCAAAGACCTAAGAAAGTGATAGATGAGCGTTACTGAATACAATTCATCTCCTTGCACTTGAGAAAGACTCCGAAGGATGATAACTATTGATTTATGTCTGTACTAGAACATTTTAAGCCCTTGTTTGACATTCAAATGATTATTGTGTTCGGAATGACAAAACAAAAGATCAACGATAGAGAAGTGAGTAAAAGAATATTTTCGAATAAAATCTTGATGAAAAAGCATAGAATATAAACAAAATTTTTTTTTGTCATTGAAGAAATAAGAAAAATTTTCATTATCAAATGGTGTACACTTTCTTCACTCGAACAGTGACTGATTACGATTATAAGGATGTTAGACACGGCATTTTTTGCGCAGATTAAAAAAAAATCCTTTTTAGATATGTCAAAAACGTTGATTATTTATGCTTTTATTTTTCATAATGATCGGATGATTAATACAAAAAAAGTAACACTATCGAAATGATTCTGTTAAATTAATATTTGAAAATCTAATTGAATTATTTTAATTCTAAAACAAGATGAATTCATATTTTGTAAGCGACTTTTGTATTTTTAGTAGTGAGAAACAATCTATTGATTCGATTGAAAAACTCAAAAATGAAATACCATCGAATGTATCATTTAAAGAAGAAAAAACTGAAGCTGATCTACATTCATTGATTAAACAATATACTGAAAATAGTTCCGAATCAACTGATCAATCTGTTAAAGTAAATGTCAATAATAAAATTGAAAAGCTTTTTATTTTTATTTTTAAATCAAAAACTAGAAAGTATTGAAAGATTTATCTACATATCGTAGTACGAATATCGATCAACAAGTTTTATTTGTTCGAGATTTATTTACTAATGGTTTACAAGCTAAACAAGATGATCGTAAACCTATAGGAGATTTAATTGATACTGGACTTAAGGGAGGAATTTTATTTAGTGAACCTTTTATTTCTGGCTATCATCTTTTTAATAAATTTACTAAGCCAAATAAAAACTTTAAAAGTTATTTTTATAGTTTTAAACTTTTTGTTGATGCTGTACAATATTCTCTCATTGATATTCATTTTATTTGGCAATTTATTGGTGAAATTATTGGGAAGTTTAAATCGAATTTTTTTATCGAAATATTTTCTATTTTTTAAGGAGCATTTATCGCTGCTTCAACTTCAAATATGATACTACTTAAATCAATATTAGATTGTGTTCCGAATGATAAATCGAAACAATTATTTCAATTTATTATTCCATATGGAACTAAATTTTCGGTAAAAAAAACCAATAAAGCTTTTATTTTATAAATTCTACTAGTGCAACTTATATAAGAGATTTTGTCCTTTTAGTTTTTGACTGATTTAGACTCGATCAGAATCTAATCGATCGGTTTAGAATTTTTACTATAGAAACAAAAAACAGTTGGAGTAGGATGGCATATATTCGAGAAAAACTTTAGTTTTTTATTGAATTCCATGATGAAATATTGCGCTGTTCGATTTTATTTTATCTGAAGATTTTCTTTTGAAAATATTCCACAGAATCATTTTCGAAAATCTACTTTACGATTTATGAGAGGAATATATAAAGATTCAGAGTTGAAAACGAGATTATAAATTTCAAAATCTTATTATGAAAATTGTTGATTTTAAATCAGAACAATATCTTCAAGTATCGATGGAAAAATTATCAGTTCGATTCAATAAATTTGAAGAAAGATTATTAGAAATATTTCTTTTTTGTCTCTCTCTCTAATAAACATTGCAAATAAAACTAATCTCTTAAATTCATGTTAATCCAAGTCAAAAAATAGAATATTTCTACTTTTTACCATCTGCTCTTAGAACTTTTACGAAAGTTTTCGTTTTTTACTCATGGATTTAAAAAGAAAAATCTTCTAATATTCAATGTTAATAGTTTCGAAATACTATTGTTTTAGTCGAATTTTAAAAACATAAAAGATGATCATCATTTCAACGAATCAGCCTTAATATTATATCCTAGTCCTATTTTTCACATGGATTTTAAAACAAAATTCATTGTATGAAAAACTTTTTAAAAAGTTGATAGCGACGCAATAAGTATCATAACATAACTGAAATATCTGTATATACGTATATTCTATCAGTATACTGAAGTATTATTCTCAAATATCAGTGTATATGTTTATATTGAGATGGACACAAACAAGAATCATCCATGATAATCTGCAATCACATTTCATATTCAAATATATAAACAAAGAAAATTCATAGAAATATTTCATTATATTATCATATATAGTACATCAATAATCACCATTGAAAAGAACAACACTAATTAGTATTCAAGCATATTTTTTTACTGATTATTAGTATCTCAGTACATGTCAGAGAGATGAAAACAAACTGAGTTTTGTTTGTTCGTGTTTTCGGTCTTCAGTACAGACTTGAAGTGATACATTTGAATATATATTCCAATCACAAGTAAGGAGATTTTGAAACAAGTTTCGAAGCATTTCAAGATTTATTTTTTTTTTAAACGAAAAACAGATATTAGCTATTTTAGAGTCTTAGAACATTCCCAAAATGTTCGTAAGTGTAACTCTTTAAGGACTTTGGAAAGTTTGGATATCGATTTTCAGTTTGAAAAAAAAACAACTTTTAAAAGAGGATAGACAGATAAGTAAAAGAAATAATTAGATTAATGAATAATATATCATTAAATCGAATAGTTTGAGAAAAAAGTTCGATTGATATCCGAATTAATTCAGTCGATTAAATTCTTAGAGCAACTATCTATTTCTTTAGGCAGAATATATATTGGTCTTATCGATATTTCCTTGATCTCACTGATGATAGAAGAACTTAAGCAGATATTTCGACAAATGATATTCTACATCTATGTATAGAATAAAAGTAATAAAAAGTAAAGGTTATTATATGAATGTTGAAATATGTAACAGTGAGACAAGACTTTAAGAAAAATACGTTAAAGTACGTAGAAAATTTCGTTAAAACAGCGCTTTAATGTATTACAATATCCAAGCGTAATATTTTTTGTGGATTTACGCGTTCTTTTCTTAACGATGTTTATCAAATGTAATATTTACTTGTTATATTTTGTTTTTATCTGAAACGATTAAGATCGTTTAAAACAAATGAGTCGTTTTAGATTAGTAGAAATACATAATCTTTTCTTAGATAATTTCTAATTATTTAAAAGACTTGTTATCTTTGGAGACTTTTAATACAAATGCAAAATCGTTGTTTAAGAATGAAAAAGAATACCGATGATATTCTTCTTCTTACACAAGTCGGACTTTTATTCGCTCCTTTACAGATTAGAGCAAATCAATGCATATCATTGATTATTTCACATATTTATAAATTCTTTTGCGTCAAATCTAAATTTTATTCTCATGAACTTCTATATTGCATTTGTTCACATTACACTCGATCTTATCGATCTCAAACGTCTTCTATTTGGTACATATCGAATAGAAACATATGCAAATCTTTTACTTCTTATATCCATTTTTTAATTTATATTTTATTCATAAAATGTTTATCATTCGATGGTAAAGACCTATTTTTCTAATATAATTACTCTTTTTACACAAATTCCATATCTACTCTTGTGCAATTTAACGATTGACATTTTTCTGAATAA